TACAAAAATCAGCCAATTACAATGAAAGCCCGCTATGCTTAGAATATTAACTAACATATGTTAAATGACCTTCTAAGGTAATTTGGACTTTGAAATGACAAATGGCTACGTATTCGTTTGTCATTTGGATCATTTGGATCATTTCAGGTCATTTACTATCCCTGACTTTGAGACCTAACGATAATTCAGCAATTAAAGGATTAACTCCGATGTTACGAACAAATGACGTAAGTAATTAACATTATACTTTTTCTTTGTCTTTGTACATTTGAGCAAACCGCTTGTTTGCATATTTAATGCTTACGACCAGTAATTAAATTGGCAGTTGTAAAGTCTCTCCCTTGTCGTAACACCGATAATCTGATCCGAAATCACTTACGGGCAAGCTAGGGTAGTTTATAATAAAGAAATTCCAGGATGCGTTTAAGTGTATCAAAAAAGTAAGTACTGGTGTATCAAAATCGTAAGTTTTGCCGCTGGGAAGTATAAAAATAACAATCTATACGCGTGATTTCTTTGCAAACAAAAAGTCTGCCAAATTTTGTCGCTCATTCGACCTAGATTGATCGACATCGGCCTGCATTAAACTAATTTTGAGGTCAGTGTTAATTTAAGGGTAGAGTAATTTTTTTGATTGCGCCTTTTCTAATTATATGATTCGAAAAGAGTCAATTATGCGCACATCGCAGCATCACATAATCATGGACTCTAGTTCGTAGCTTTTCTCAGAATAGTGAGAAATAGTTATACGTAGTAGTTAGTCTCAAAGTAGTGCAGACTATTGATACTTACGCGCAACTTAAATACTGTACGTCTCTTCCGACTCGAACTCTATTGTTGATTAGGCTCGGTGTAGCCGTTTTAGGAGGCTCATTATATGGACGTTAAACTTTAACAATATTTTAAAGTGTCATAATAATTGGAAAATTCCAATTAATCATTGAGAAAGTCTAATTAGATTAAATAATCACTTTTTTTTTAAAAGCATAATAAATTGCACTGATTTTTGAAATTTAATTAAACATAGACTTGAGCTATCATCTCAATTACTAGTAAATACAATTATGGAGAGATGTTTAAAATTTTCAAGTTGACAATGAATCATGTTAACGATGCCTAAATATTCATTAGCAACACAATACGTCAACAATAACAAAAATCAAAAATAATTGGAACCAATATTGAAAAATAAATTGAATTGTAAAGGTATAAGTTATGAAAGAACTTTGATAAAAAGATATTATTTTTGATAATGCAGATAAAGACTTGCATTACTTTCCACAGTAGATAATACGAATTGATGAAATTAAGATTATTTGATAAGTAATTAATTAATTAATTACGAACTTGTTAACATTAAGAATTCTCAAATTCAAATAATAAGAACTGAAATAAAACCAACAAAAAGAATAATTGCTCCAATTTGAGGTGTAACCATAGTAAAAGAGTTAGCCGAGTTAGCCGAAACACTGCTAACCACTTGAATATCAGCACATTGATACCAAGAACTATTAACATCAGCTAACTTGAAAACAGCTTGAAGAACACCTTGAGAACCAACGGTTGCATTAGCTCTACTCAAGTTGACAGTAATCGATTTTTGAGCGTTCATGAGCTGAGAATACGTTTCGGGGTCTTGATTATGAAGACGAACAGTGAAATGAATTAACAGTACACATATTTACCCATAAAAACACATGTATGTTAAATAATTTACCTGATACTTGAAGAAAAGTGGAGTTTAGATCAGGAGCATAAAAAAAGGTAAGAGTTCCGTCACCATCATAGAAGAAACATGTAGCACGACCTTGTGCTATATTAAATTAAATAAAATAGTATTTAACAGATTTAGAAAAATAGTACAGTCAAGAAGAGAGTTAAAAAATTTTAACTTACTAACGGGGAATTTAGTTATTGCGGCAGTATTGACCGAGTTAAACCCGCCACAAGGAGAAAGTGGCTCATTAGCTTCATCGAAACCTCTAGTCGGAGGATTCTGTAATTGGTAGTGAGAATTCGCAACATTAACAATAACGAAAAGAACCAGAAGGTAAGAAATGAAGGATTTCATAATTATAGTATTTATCGCTATTGTTTAAGTTAAACCCTAAAACCTCGAAGCAAGGTCAAATCAAGTATCCTTAAGCATTCATATAAATACTGTATTTAAATTCGATTAAGTTACGATCCATGTTTCACATGCGTTACACTTTTCCCTATTTCTTCCGTTCGTGTTTAATGAGTGACCATTTAAGGGATGTGGACGAAAGTCTGTTTTGATAGATCTAAATTTTATCTTTAATTTTTTTGTTTATTCTTTTTTAATATTTCCATATTTATCTCTTCTCCCTCCTGAATTATAATTAAGATTATCCGTACGTAATTATGGTGCCAATCAAAATCCGACAAGCACAATCCCGACAGGTCATAATCCTGACAAAAAAATCCCGACAATTAATATATGTTTAAAGCAAAATAGCTTCTTATAATGTAATTAACCTTAGGGTTAGGTCACTTTAGATAAGGGTTAGACTAGGGTTGGCTATGGTTTATGATATTTTTCATCAGAATTATTAATTGTCAGGATTTTTAACTGTCGGATCTTTGGCTCGGGATTTTTTGTCGGGATTATAACCTGTCGGGATTTGACCCAAACCCCTAATATTATAGGCTTACAAGCTCAAACAATACGTAGTACGTATGTACGTACGTACGTAGTTGTTGAATTACGTGATACAAAAATGAACTTGAAAAATAATTTGAACATAAAATAAATTTCTTTCTCCGTGTGTACTTTATACAAAATATTAACTATCCGCCAGTAAAAATTTTATATGAAAGTTATGCAAAAAATCCATCTCAAGAATGTTATTTGCAAATTTAAACATTTTCCAGCAACCAAATAACATTGCAAATATTCATTCCGAACAATGTGATTAACTTAGTGATTCTTTCTAAGCAAATCCCTTTCAATTTGCGCATGTTCACATTGTATTCATTATGTACGTACGTACGTACTACAATGAACTATATCAGATATGATACGTTTCACAACAGGATCATTCAAACCATTAAGTGCTGACTTGTACAGTATTACCTGCGGATTACAGAATATCGTTATGGTATGAGTGACCAGAATTGTAATAGATTTTTTAGTATGGTATAGTGCTTAGAATAGGTACGTACGTACGTACGTACGTACTGTGACATACAATTAATGCATATCAACCATACTGATATTCTGCAATTCCGAGGTTCTGTAGATCCCGAATCGACATACTGGTATATGCATACGTACGTACGTACGTCAGTACTGCAGTAGGCGGCAAAAGTAACGCCCGATGGTTTTTTATGGTAAAAAATTGAAATTTATAGAATATATAAAAGTCAAAATTTTTTTTATTAAAAAAAATTTTTTTAATATAATTAGTAAATTCAATATTTATACTCTATAATATATGAGTTTCGTCGGGCTGAACGAATTGGATTGATTTTTTAAAAAATTATGAAGTTTACCATTCAAAACTTCATATATAAAACATATAAAATTTGTAAATTTGACTTCAAAATTAAATTTAAAATTTTAAAATTTCTTTTAAAAAAACATAACTATAATTATTAATAACATTACTAATATTTTAAGGGCAATGTAAAATAAAAAATTATTTTATAAAAAATATAAGTTTTAATATAACATAAAATTTACAATTAAATTTTACAAAATTTACTTAGTAAAAATAGTAAAAATCTGAAATGTTAAAATTATTAAAAATCTAAAATTTTAACAATAAATATTTTTTTATTTTTATATGATTAGAAAATTTGATATTTATATTTTATGATGTATAATTTCATCAAATTAAAAAAAAATCATTTTTTTAATAACAATTTTTCAAAAAAGATTTTATATGTATTATATTATAAAATTAATCATTGGACATCTCTTTTGTATATTGAAAAAAATCCTCTAGTTCTGGATAATACTGATATACACTACAATACAACACTAAATACTAACTAAACTACTATCACAGTGAAGAAAAGTATGCAGTGCATTTAGTAAGGAGTATCAACTGGAAGCTCAAAAATAATAGACAATTAATTGCATTAGTAAGAATCAAAAAAAACATTACTTATCTTGTGTCAGAGAAGAGTTGAATCGATCGATTATCACATGCTTATATGATGATCAACCAGAATTGGAATCAGGTATCAAACATTTAAGAAAACAATGCACAGAATTAATAAGCAGTACATGAATAATGTTGTAATAAAATAATAAGCAAATCACAAGTCATTTAAACAAAACATTTTAAACCTAAAAGTGAAGCACACCTATCTAAAACTTTTTTTCTTACTAAATAAATTACTTTTGAGCTTCTAACAAGATTGTAGAGCATATCAATAGGCATTTAATAGTAGTAAGAATATTAAAATTGGCTTGGTAATTCTTAAGAAATCTTTAAAAAACCTTTTACTGATATATAAAATTTCTTTAAAAAAAATTAATTTTTTTTAAAGAAATTTATATGTTAATAAAAGGTTTTTTAAAGATTTCTCAAGATTCACAAGTTAATTTTAATGTTTTTATTATTATTAAATGCCTCTTGATAAGCTCTAACTTTTGTTAAAAGCTTAAAAATAATTTATTTAGTAAGAAAAAAAGTTTTAGATAGATATATTCTATTTTTGAGCTTATAGTAAAATTTTATATATATAAAAAAAATTTATTTAGATGATTTGTGATTTGCCTATTAATAGAAAATAGATGATTAGTAATAAACAATTAAAAGTGATTAACTATTATATAATTTAGTAATAGTTAAAATTTGTATTTAAAGACACAAATGAAATAAAGTTAATTAATAATTTTATTTTATTTTTTTTTTGAAGTTAAGGTGAGATTTTGTTCATATCTTTATTAATTTGTTAAAAAAGCCTCTTAGGACTTTTTTGGATGTAAATTACAATATTTATTCCAATTACAAATATGGAGCTCAGATTATAGACAAATATCTATCTAATTTATCTACAACCTAAACCTACTAGAGTGATTAAAACTCACCTAAATTTGATAGTGTAGAATATTGTTAGTAGGGTAGCTATATAATATCCAGTATATAGACCAGGATTCAATTTTACAAAGTGTGAGTCCATGTGGTGAACAGGCATTATCTTCTGTGTGAAGTTAATAAGCCACATAGTTGACAAGTTGTATAGTGTAAGTTCAGATGTTGATGTAAGTAGTTATATAGTCTGGTATGAGTTGTTAGTTTGTTAGGATTGAGTAGAATGTTATTGTTCTTTTTCCATTGTGCTAATTTAGCAGAATATGATTTCTATATAAGTTTATAGATATTGTGTGATATTTTAATTAGAAGTTTGATTGCTATAGTGGTTGCTTCTTTTTGAGATAAAGTATAAAGTCTAATTGTAGCAATAAGGTCTGTTGGTATAAATCCTTGTATAGTTGTATATATATTGGTTTGTCTTCATTAAATATTGTTTAGTGATAAGCTGCTATGTTAAATTAGTAGATTGTGTAGTTGTTGTAACTGTGATTGTGTAATATCTAATATTAAGCAGTTAATAGTTTCTGTAACTGTATCTGTAATTATCTTGATAAGATTTGTAGGGTTGAAACAGAGTAACCAGTATCATGCTCTGGGGTTTGACAAGTAATGCAGTTGTTATTTTGAAATTTGTCTGAATACAGGTCATAAAGGTAATGTAATGTAGGTAAGATATAAAGCAGTATTTTGATTTTAAAGGATTTACTTTGGTTGAGTTGGAAATTAGTATAATTGTTTGATTTTTTTGTAATGTTGTTAAGGTAGAGCCATGTTGAGTTTCAGTTAATCTGTATTAATAATAGAATGATATTGTTCATTCGATTTTGTGATGACCACATAGCAATAATATATGCATTGCAGATGTTTTTGATAGCTCATCTTGTGGGTTGTTCAATTGTGTATTTTTCATATTGTAAAGTATATGATGTATTGTATAAATTGTTGTGAATAAGTTCAAGATATGCAGTAGAGTTGTGGTTAATCGCTAGTTTATTAGCTTCATCATTGAATATATTGTTATTATGTGCAAGAACTTTGTGAAAAGTAATAGTGTATTGTTAGGCTTAAATTAATTTGAGTAATGAGTGCCAGATTGGCAAATATGAATAGGAGTATTATTTATACAGTAGAATTACATTATTACTGATTTTGCTATATTTTATGATGTATAATTTCATCAAATTAAAAAAAAATCATTTTTTTAATAACAATTTT